GAAAACCAATTAAAACGAAAATTAAATATTACAGCGAAGAAATTATAATGGGGTTGGCTATTCTGTTAAACTATCACTTGTATGCTTTTCGCACACGATTTACTAATAAAATATGCAAAATATAAAGTCAATGGAACAAACAGACAGAAGGAAATGATGTTTTAGCATATAGTCATAATTGTATGATTATACCCATATCTTTACGAAAAAAGTTCGAATACTTCAAATGATTCGTCTTAAAATATTGAGAAAATTTGGTCTATAACACAATGGCGGTTCAATATCTCGATGGGATCCAGTTAAAGGCATGCATATGTACAATAAAATCGAAGTGCAATGTTACAGATTTTTGTGTATATATAATTAAAACTAAAATAGAACAATCGCGAGTTACCTCAAAAGACCATTTTCACTGAGGCTTAGCAACAAATTTGCATCTGTCAAATTGATTGGTACTAAGTGTTTTAACCAGATCATATGTATCTATTCGGTCGGATTCTCTGTTGACCGCCAAGAAAGTAAATCATTTCCTGCTTTTTATTTGTCGAAACATGTAAAAATTTGATCCAATCTATTTATGGTAATAATATACTTGCAGCAAATATTTTTATTTGTAGTTAATTAGATCATTATGGGGTCACGTTCGCATGATTGCGTAAACAATGGGTAACGTAATAAACCTTAACACACCTCAGGGTTCAAGGGTTCAATAGTGACTAACTGACTACTGTGTGAATTGGTACGTGCGTAGATTTTGTTTACGTACCCGAGATCTGAGTAATGACGAATGAGTGAACATTGTACTAGTTATATGGCCTATGATACAACCAACCAATTGTCTAACAGGTTAATCTATATGGCAATTGCCATTATGCGCATGACGTATAATCGATAACGAGAAGATACTTATAAATACCATATGTCGATGTTCAACTCTTTTTTTCTCACTAATACGTGAAATAAAATCAAAAAAATTAATTCTTTCACGAAGTTGATGACCGTGTTTCGATGATAATACTCATTCATTTATTTTCGCATCGAAAAATTTATTGATACGTTCATTCGTTATTATTAGTAATTATTATTCGTACGTCAAAATCAAATTTATCCGTAACTTTGGTCTTCAACACTTACAAAAGTACTTCTTAATTTGAACTTTTCATAAAAATTCTGACATATTCATCTTATTATTAAAATCTAATATTATATTTAATACCATCAAATTTCTGGTGCTCCCATTATGGCTTCAAACGAAACAATCCAAAATCTTATTATTCATTATGATCTTAGCCAACATCCAGAATACTCGGAAATATTCGGAGGTGTTTTTTCCTTCTTGGTCCCGAACGAGAAACAAGTAGTCTGTATCTATGGGCCTGATGCACAAAGTAATCGCGCCCATCCAAACACTCGAGGAATAAGTGAATTCGTAATATTTCGAGCTTTTATCTCCCATGCGCTGGAAGCAAATCAAGCGGCCTTAACTGACATTGAATTCATCTCAAAATTTACGTCCGAATTATGGCAATCGATGGATCCCGCATTACAACAGATATTCAAAAACTTTTCAGAGAGATTAAAGATGGACTTTAGATATCACACTTTTGTTCCCTATGCTCTGAATTTTGACAAGCCAAGCAGACCGTATCTTTCTCCTATGAAATTGGTCTGGGAACCCATAATTACTCCCGAAACTTTTGAGAGGAGTCTTTAGATCGTATGGTTTTTTGATGCACCGTATTATTTATACGAATAATTTGTCTGATATACATAAACTTATAGTACTATTAATTAAGAACAATTTATGAATTATTCATTATTTTAAGGTAATATATCACAATTTTATTCTTTTAATCTTACTTGCGCCTTTACTCTCAGGGTTAAATTCAGAAAGAATTTCATAAACGCAGGTCCGTTTATATACCAATATTATTGCTATTATAATAAACTTTGATCTTCAACCTGATGTGGTGAAAAGTTAGGTGAAATACGTTTTATAATGAGAAAACAATACTCGAAATATTCTATCATGTATTTTTGCATTTTATTGAACATTTGGCTAGTTCGTTAACTGAATAGCAAAGAGAGGTTAAAAATTACTGTACAACTGTACTTGCTGTATTCATTGCTTTAAGTCCTATGACAAGTTTTTATACTATAAATCCTAAGATTTCTATGACCGAAAGTTTAATGATGCCACTATCCAATAGGTCATAATTGAGCCGAGACTTTTGACTTGTAAAAAAAAAAAAGATAAAACACGTACTGGAGAAAACCAACCTTTTTATTCAAATAAATAACTTTACTCTAATCAGCTAGTGACTCACTACAATTGTCAACAAACTTGTCATTGTACCTTAACAGTATAAACCAATGAGCTGGTAATATATACCTGTTTCTTTTCAGAGATCAAAAAATTCACCATTACAAATTGTATGAATTTTGAGAATCGTGCTACCTGTCAATCCTACCTCTTATGGGTAGCTTTGCTTAACGTGCAATTAAACTCGAAATCACTTTTAAGGTAGTGGGCGTTGACCTCTTCATTTTCTGTTTGAACCAATAGTCTAAGACTTTTCCCAACCATTAAAATAATAACTGAAATTGGAATTTCTCGATGCACAACAGGTTTATTTTTTGAAAGATGCCGCCGTGCAAATAATAATGAGTTCGTATGTGACTTTTCGCCTTTCTTAAATATACTTTATAGACTTCGAAATCTATTCATGAGTGAAAGATACGATTTATTTATGTGCTTTTTCTTATTTATTAACAAAAACAAACAAATGTTCGATCGAGCTAATGACTATCATGCTGCATTATGATTTGTTTGTCGATAATAACAGTATCTTATATTTATGATCAACATTATTTGTATTACTTTCTGTTAATTTCAAATGTGCCTGAATACACAAGAGCCCTTGCTTGTGTTGTTGGAGATGGGATTTACCGTACATCGATCATATAGACTTACAGTACAGTATTTATTTGTATGCATCGACGATTTTTGTAATTTCTTGTTTAATCACGATCCATAACCTCAGGTTAAACATGTTTATCAATATTGGCATTTTTTTTGGTATTAAAACATGTATCCGAAATTATGTCGTAATCTTAGTTGAAGATGTATGAGAATGTATTATTATGTTAATCGGGTTAGTTTCACTTGAGATAAAAACAATGAAGGGTTATTTTATGAATTGGAAACTCGATAGGGTATTAAATATAAGTAGATTTGTATCATGACAATATCTTCACCATCTCAGCTTTCAATAATAAGATTAAGACATCAATTGAAGCATCAATCCAAGCGTAAATCTTATTTAGAAATCTTGTTGCAATATAATCAATATCTTTCTATTTACTGAAAGATACAATTCCTGTTGGCTCCTTCTATAGTTACGAATATCTTCATCCAATGCAACTATAATCTCTTCAATCATATTTCACAAGTAATTTCTGTTTACTTTAGTTTTTTATTATTTAATATTAAGTAAGTATTCATAGTCAATTGATATCATTTAATAAGATATATTGTTTTAATAATTTTTTTCCATATTAATCAACTGATTTCTATAGGCAAGTTAATATTTAACTCATTATATAGGTATATAAAAGATGTAGTTTCTTTTTACAATTTATATCTTATACTATATAAATTATATGAAGAAAAAATAATTATTTATTTAAAAAAATTTATATATGACAAATATTATAATATTATAATCATAAATTTATTTATATTTATCATTTATTATATAATATAATGTAATAATATGTCATTTTAGATTAAATAAAAAAAAAACCAATAAAAGGAAATTTTTAAAAAAATATTAATAAATTTTAAATTTTCTTAAATCTTTATAAGTATTAAAATTAAAAATTATATAATTATATAATATAGAAAAACAAGAATAATTTGAATTTATTGCAAATTAAAAAGATTTAGTACATTCATAATAAGTTCTAATAAATTCTTTAAAAAAAATCATTTAATAATCATTAATTAAAAATATTGTTTTATAACATAAAACAATATTATCACTATTTATTTCTTATTAATTTTATAAAAATTTGATTTTTCTATTATTTTTATAAACAAAAACAAAAAAATCTTATTGATATTGTTTTAATAAAATTTTTGTATTTAAATTCTATCGATATTAAACAATATCTATCATGTCAATTTAATATTTTATTTAAATTTATAATCTGCAAATAATAAACTATTTAATTTTATTAATATTTATGAATATCAAAAAAATCTATATATAATAATAATAAATTATAAAAATATCAAAAAAAAAAAAATAATTTAACGTTATAATTGAATATTAAAAAATTTTATATTTAAATTCTTTGTCAGCCATTCAACCTATATAGTTAAAAAAAATTTGTAAATATATAAACTTTGGTGACCCACATACTATCGCCCCGTACGTAATAGAATCATATTTTTTGAACATTATGCGATATGACACTTATATAAGAAAACCGTTTTTAAGAAAGTCTTATTGAAATTCTTGGCTTGCCATTCAGCCAAAATTTGCGCATAAAGTTGTTCATAAATATATGGATTTTTGGTGACACACTGTCGTCCCGTATGTAGTGTTAGTTGAAAAGTTTAAATTTAGCCAATCAGAATTAAGGATTTTTATTAAAGCAATTAATCGATTACATAGTACGTAACAGAATCCTATATATTGTAATACCCATTTTGTACAAAAAACTACATAATGCTTAACGCTTGGTTATTGCGGTCAGCCTTTCCTCAAAATACTAAAAAATTTATGTTCGACACACATTACAAGAAGGGTAAGACTCACTTAGCAAATGCTAGAAAACAAAAATCTGACGATCATCCAAGGGATGCGCTAGACGCCTATCAAAAAGCAATTGATGAATTTGAGGCTCAGGGGTCTTCACTACTTCATGACGTAAAAAGGCGTTTAGCTAAAGCTTACTTCGAATGTGGTGACGTCTATAAGGGTATAGGAGAAATGAATAATGCGGATGCTTGTTATAAAGAAGCTCAAAAATATGAACCGAAGTATCGCGAAGCATTGACCAAACGTGAAACATTAATACATCCCTTGCAGACAAAAAACAAACCTATAGAAAGCTCTTCTATCAGTTCAATTATTTTACCAACCTCTTTAGCGGAGACAACGACACCGTCCCTTTTGCCAAAACTAGAGTTTTTTATCCAAGATCCTCTAGTGACATCCGAGCCGCATTCCATGATAAATAACATAAATAATATTAGAAACACTCAGGATTTGGCCTGTTATCTGCAACCTAATAATCATACCAAGGAACAGGCGCCACAACTAATAAAATTAGCCCTAAATACCATTGAACTATTCGCTAAGAGGAAAATTAAAACGAAAGAAATGATCATGAAATCGTCTTCTTGGCGTCCATTCCAAATAAAGAGATTTATGAAGAATTACTAGAGCATAGTATTCGAGCTATTAAAAATTCAACATTTCAACATTTCAACATTCCAAGCATTTGATTTGCTTAACTCAAGTAATTCAAAACATGCCCAACTCACTCCTGATTACCGGGGAGATTACCACTGGGAATTTAGTGGCAATGTTAAGAATCTTACATTCCCGTATAGAAGATATGCATAAACAAGACAATGAGACCGAGCTCAGCGAATTATTACAAACACTCTGTCCATTATTAGATGCAATGGTGCGGATAGGCGTTAAAGGTATCAATCGTGAGAAGCTGCATGCGCCATTATATCAACAGCTCAAAGAGTTAAAAGGGCTAAAAGATAATCAAACATTGGTTTACTATGCTCGCTACGCCTGCCAGGCATTTTTGTACATCCCAAGTGATGAAAAATTATGGCAAGAAGTTATGCGTAGAACTTTTAAAGTTGCTAGTGGAACTGTTAACTTAGTTAATGCGGTTAGAAGTTTAGACTCCAGTAAATTGCTGGATACCTTTAAAGATTTCAGTGAAGCATTTGAAAGTTTAATGAAGTTGCAAGTCGCATTCGAGAATTGGTCGAGACGGTTCAAACATTAAGAGAAGGAGTAGAAGGAGTGGAGTTTGAACAGACAAAGCAATGGTATTTAGCTCTACGATTTATAGATCTTTTTATTCAAGAAAATCAGTTGAATAAACTCGAGCAGTTTGTTCGTCAGAGTTCCTATAATAAGAACAAATGGTTTTTAATAGGCTTATGCCAACGCTTAGGACAGCTTGCCTGCATACATCAAGGTGCGGTTGAATTTTTAGATGATCTTTATGAAACGAAATCCAATGGGGACAACATCCAGAAGTTAAAAATTATGTCAAAGAGATTATGAATAAAGTAGCGTCTGGCAAAAAGGCATCCAATTCTTCCATATACGGAAGTTCTGAATTGTTAATTGAGGCTCGTCTTAAATTATCACAGAATTTAGGTTCAATTGTCTCAGAACCGCTGGCAGAGTTAGGAAAAATTAGAAAGGAATATTTAGACGAACTTGAACAAGACGAACATATTAAAAACGCATTGGGTTTATATGTGCCACCAAAAGGAAAGTGGTCCCTAAATGCTACGAACTCTTTTGACTTAAAGGCAGAGGTCAATGCATTCTTAGTTTCAGAAAAAAAAGTTCTGCTGCTCCTAGGTGAAGCTGGATCGGGAAAGTCTACTTTTAACCGTCACCTCGCTCAATGTCTTTGGGAGGATTATGCATCAATAGACGA